CATGGAACCAGTGAAACTGAACAAAAAATCTGATTGAGATGGGGTCATTGGTCCAGGAATTATACTACAATACTTGTAACAGATAGATTAAGACATTATACAGTAGTTAATTATTTTTAGTAGCAACTAATTTAACATTTCAAGATTTGTACAGTTTCATGTTTAAAGTAAAAGTAAAATTTACTTGTTATTGTCATTTTACTGCTACTATTTATAATAATAATAACAATAATAATGATAATAACGATGATGGCAATGATGACAACAACAATAATAATAATAATGGCAATAATAATAATAGTAATATTATCAATAATATAATAATAATAATAATAATAATTATTAAAATAGTACAAATCAATCAGTACAATCAAATTATGGTAGCAACTACATATACTTTAACAATAGTACAGTACATACTATGTTTAAATCTTGAAATGGTGAGGAGGAGCCAGGTTTTGGCCAGGTATTTTTCTATTTGTACACCTGGTCCTACTGCAGCACCTAATGCATCTATCAAAACAAGGGTGACAGAAACAGAAATTTTGGTGAGGCATTCTCCTTCTACATCGCAGGATGTGATATGTCAGTTCTTTTTTCTTTGCTTCATCTCAAAACAATCAACATGAAACAGAAAGTCAAATGGAATAAGAATTTTTATTTATTTATATTTTTTAAGGGAAGTATTGAGGTGATTTGAATATTCCTTTACACTGTAGAACATGTTGGTAAGCAGAAAAGCTTTCAATTTACTCTTAAATATATGAATTGTGTTTATGTCTTTAATATTATTGCCCAGTTTGTTGTAAAGTGTAATGCTGTGTACATCAGAATTTAGAGTAAAAGTGCCTTTGTTTTCCATGATAATCTTATTTGTGAAGAATCTTTAGTTTATTGAACAAGGGTTTGAAGACTAGCTTATGAGTGCCGGTCACTGTTCGCAGTATTCTTTTTTGGATAATAAATGTGCAAGTGTGCTTTCAGGGGCATTTCTCCAAAATATTATTCCATATTTAAGGTGTGAGTGCACATTTGCAAAATACATTGTTCGAAGTGTCTCAATGTTTTATTTATTTCATTTACAACCAGTAAAAGCTGAATGTGACATATGGAGGAGAAGATCGTGTTGGAGCTTGACCTGAGGGTGTACAGAGCATTGCAAAATTTGGTGAGCTTCTTGTTATGATTTGAGATGTGAGCATTCCATTTTAAGTTTTCTTGAATTGTTAGACCGAGGAAGGTAGTATTATGAGATATTGTTACAAGGGCATTTTTGATGAGAAAATGCAGTGAGAGTTTTTCTTTAGATCAGGGATTCATGAAATTTAGAAAGACTGTCTTGCTGGTGTTTATGAGTTTGTTGACTTGAAACCATTTTGCTAGTGCATGCAAAGTTTTGTGAGTTTCTTTTTCTAATGATTGTTGTTTTTACTTTGATGATTATGTTTGTGTCATCTGCAAACAAAATTATTTTCTTATACCTTAAAGCCAAGAGCATGTCATTTATGTATATAAGAAACAGTATTGACCCAATGATAGATCCTTGCGAGACTCCACAATTTATCATCTAAGGGCAGGTGTAGTATGAGGAAATTTTGTTTTTTTTAGTGTGCTGGAGGGCTCCAGTTTGATAAATATGATTTGATCCCTTGGCTTGCAATGCCTCAAATCCCTAACATTTGTAATTTTGTTAAAAGTATGAGATGGTAAAAAATGTCAAAGGTTTTTGATAAATCTAAGAAAAGGCCAATGAGAATTTCCTTCTGATTTAGTGATAACATTTAAAAACAAGAAGACGGCTGTGTCTGTGGACCTATTACTCCCGAAGCCATGTTGTGTATTTGTGAGGATATTCTTTTCATTGAGAAACTGTTTGAATCTATCTTTGAAAAGCCTTTCCAGAATTTTTGAAAATTCTGATAACAAGGAGATGGGTCTGTAGTTCATTGGATCATAACTATTGTCCTTTTTAAGCTTTGGTTTAATTTTTGTCATTTTGAATATATCTGAGAATATGGCTGTTTTTAGAGTAATTGCAAATATGGGATAGTGGTTGCACTATACATGGTGTAGTGTGTTTGATAAGAAAATCCGGAATGCTGTCCAGGCCTGTTGAGAATTGATTCTCCATTTGTTCAATGATTTTAAAAATTTGAGTGGGAGGTTTCATATAAAAATATGGAATTTAAAAGTAGTGTAATCTTAGTGTTTGGTTGGTGTGTTTTATTGTTTAGAGAGTGATGAGAGATTAACTTTTGACCAATTTGTGAAAAGTGTTAATTGAATATATCAGCTATTTCTTGTGGGTCTTGTAAAGTTTGGTTTTCATAGTGGAGCTCATTATTTTTTCTGTTATTATTAGTTGGTCTTTTTAATAATGTCCCACATGGCTTTTGTTTTATTATGTGCATTGACAATGTACTCATTGTGGCATAAGTTTTGCTTGTGTGATTACTTTTTTTAGGAACGAATTATATGTTTTGTAGTATGAAATGAAGTTGGAGTTATATTTGTTATTTGTTAGTATTTTACAAGTGTTGCGTATTCTTTCATATGACACTTTGATGCCTTTGGTAATCCATAATTTGGTTTTCTTATATTGTTTTGAGTTTTTGCATACATGTGACCATAAAATGTTTGTAAGACCAATACTGGTATTCTTCAGGATGTTGACTAAATTCCCTCTACTCTTTAATTATTGATGCTCCTCACCCTGGCTTTTCTTCTATAAAAGATAACTAGTGGTGCTTCAATGGAACACATTTTATTGTATTAGTGGTAATGATTATATAATATCATATTTTTCCTTCTGACCCACCAACTCTTGAAGTTTTTATTCAAAAAACTCAAATGGTATCTTAAGAAATAATGTAAAAACTACTGATATTTTGAAAAGTCTACTTAAAAAGGGAAAAAAAAAAAAAAATACACAAGCATTAATATTAATGGTGAGGGAAGGTTTGAAAAAAATTGAAAATTGTCACTATATAATTCAAAATTACTGGTTTTAACAAATTAACATTAACAAATAAATATTTTGCATTAAAAATTAAATCAAGCAAAAACTTATAAATATGGAGTAAATGAGCTAAAAGAAACATTACTAGACCTTTTTAACAAAGTATGGCAAGAGAGGAAAATACTAATAGAATGGCAAGAGGGTTTGGTCATGAATATTCACAAGGGCTCAAGGAAGAGCTGTGACAACTATAGGGTCTTCACACTATTATCAACAGCATCAAAAACCTTTGGAAACATGTTGAAAAATAGACTCAATGTAATTTCATGAAGAAGAACTGAGAATTTCATGGAAGAAGAACAGTGTGGGTTCCGAAAAGGAAGGAGCACTAAAGATGCCATCTTCACATTACAGATGATAATAGACAAAAGAAGAGACAAGAGACTTACCAACTTTTATAATATTCATAGATTACGAAGAGACATTTGACAGAGTAAATTGACAGAAACTTTGGGGAAATACTGGAAAAGGCAGAAATTCCAAATCAATTATTCAATGCGATCCAGAATTTATATGAAAACTCCAAAATTATTTTAATATTAAGAGACGGGACAAAGTCTGCAACAATAAAAACCAGCAGCAGCCTAAGTCAGGGATGTGGTCTGTCATCTACTCTCTTCAACATATATATCAGCTATCTGGTGAGAAACCAGAGGAAGAAAATTAAACAGAGTATCCAAATCAGGAAAGACACAAGATACAATCTTGTATGTTGACGATCAAACAATCATAACAGATTCTGAAGATGATATACAAAGAGCAGTTTTTGAACTGACAAAAGAGGCTCAGAAATATTCTACAAAAATATCTGTTCAAAAAACTGTTTTGGTTTCTGTGGGAAAGCTGGACATATTATAATAAAAAGTTGGACATATTATAATGATTGAATTTATGTTTATATATTTACGAATTCATTTTGTACAAACATTTCTATTGTGTTTCAAATATAATATTTAAATGACAAACGGCGATAGATTTGTAATCTAATTTTATGTATTTCTTAAGGCGATGTATGGGATGGTTCTCAGCTCTGGATATTTTTTTAATTTTAAAAGGTTTAATCACTGATTATGGTATTCAAAAATTAGAAACTCTGATGAAATCACAGGCAAGATTAGATTTATTCAGTCAAAAAAACAGTAAAAACTGTATGTGACGTAGGGGGGAAAAGATTATCCGCGCACGTTTTCTTGAGTTCCAGAATCCCTTCCCGTCATTTTAACTATAAAGAGTTGAAAGATGAGTAAAAGTTTAACATAAATAAATAAAAATATATTTTAAAAGTAAATTAAAAATCGCAAGATTAGCAATATTTGAAAAATAGTAATTTTCATTTCTGAGTTATAGAAAACGTATTTGCATCGGTACACGAATTGCAAATATGATTTTTCTGCATTGCTTACAAAATAGCAACACGCCCTTACCTCTACTCTATTACAAGCAAAAGTAGAGTTCAACAAAACGTTCGCATAGTGAAGCTACATTTACGTCCAGAAGCAAAACAAAGGGCAAACATTGTGTAAAAATATCCTCGCTTGTCTGTGTAATGTACTGCGATTACAGCGAACAGGTTGTGATTTGTTCATGTTTGTTTCTGTTGTAGAGATAAGAAATGACTGCCGTTCCTGACTCAAAATAATTGCAGATTCGCACCACTGCTGTTTCCTTTGATTGGTTTCGACTTTTTCAAGTGATGGCTGAAATGTTAGAACAGTAGATATCGCATGATTATAATATTACGCAACCGTTCTCAATAACGCGAGAAAGTTTGTGCTGTTGTAGCTCCACTAGTTTCGAAAAAGGGTACCGTGACTCTTTTCATCCCGACAACTTTGCTCATCGCTTGTTTCCCCAACAACTGTATCTATTTCTTCACGGCCCGACACTGTCCCAATTTCTTGGTTTCACTGTCCCTGAGATTATCTCCGGACACTTCGGCATCGATGTCGCCGGGGATGACTTCTGCGTCTATTATATCGTATGGCGTTCACCGTGTTCCTTCGAGCAGAACCCATCGCCAGGCATTCCAGTCACTGTGTCCATCGTTTGACACCCCTTTCCCTTTGTCCGATTGCTTTAAACGCCAATCACCGTGTTCACTTCCTCGCAACCCAGGCCCTGTGTCCGTCGCTTGGCAGCTCTTACAGCCAGGTACAGCTGGATCGAGGAACCTGCTTCATTGTCCGTGCGTCGAGGGGGCGGGGCGGAGCGGGGCGTGCCATCTAGTGGTGGCTCTCGAGCAACGCTTGTTTGCTCGCTCTTAGCGGCGCGCGCCCATTTACCAAGCACAAACAGCCCGGGGTGGGTGCGGAGGGGCGTGGGGGTGCGGGTGGGCTACCCCGCCCTGCGGAGGCAAACGAGGCGCCGGTCGCCCTTCGGCAATTTCTCCAAGGTGAATCTGTCAACAGGGCGCAGCGGCGCGCTATTAGGAACACGACCAAAACGACGGAACGACTTCAACTTCGTTCCCACCAGTCCCTCGATTACTGAAATGTTGGACATAATTTTTAAAGAATGCCATTCGAAATTCAACCTTGAGGATTCGTTTTGATTAAATAAGAAACATGCCAGAAAGGGGCCATACTTAAATAATTGTGAAATCCTATCCTCATTAGAAATTTGGCGTCCCAATAACATCTAACAGTTTATTGACTGATGTAAATAAAATTCGTGCGCATTTTTCATGTTCAATTCTTTCAATTTATAGATAGTTACTTCGATTGTTATGTAGATAGATGTTTATTACAATTTGATGTATCCTTACATTGAGAATAATGATCGATTCTTCCTTTTGCTACTCTTCTATACTGTGCTGACACTATTTTTTAACAACTTTCTATACTGTGCTGACACTATTTTCTCTACAATGCTATTCAATAACATTTTATTTTTTAAATTTTGGTTCATTTAATGAGGTAACATGCATATACAGAACAGTTTTAATGCCATCTGCTTTACGGATTTATGAATGTAAGAACTTAACAATTCTGCCTGAAGGTTACAAACGCTATCACGAAGGTAGTTCATTCTCTGCATATTCTGTACTTCTCTTCTTCCTGCCGCGTATGTCAGCAGCCATATGGTGTCCGAAACGTAGCTAGGATCTCACAAAATCAGTCGACTCCCAATCAGCAATCGGATCAAATCAAGAGAGGCCGTCCTAATCAGAAATATGCTATTGAGAGTTACAATAATTTTAACATCTTGATTGTGATAAATTTCAACTGGAATGCGTCATGGAAAGCCAGAACGCAGACCAACGAGCTACCCATGGGGGTATACAAGATATAGGCAATGTAATCGAACTGTTTCACAATTCAAGCCTTCGAGTCTACAAGTTAGGTTTATTAGTCTATGATCTACAAAATAGGACCTTTGCACACCTTCTATTGCATTTTTGGAGTACTTCTGGGTAGCTTCACTTCGTGCCGCGGATGATCTGAGGCGTGAAAAATCTCGAATGCTAGGCTCAATTAAATTTACTGCAACATGTTCTGTGCTTAATTCTAATTGTTTTAGTGAGTGCGTTGTATCTGAATGGCATGTATGCGATGCAATGTATTCTCAATTATCATTTTGTTCTTATAGAAAAACAACTTTAAGCAATCCCTAAGGTTTGAAAGGCGATACCAAGGAATCTGGAGTACATCCATTGTTGGCTATTTATGGGCAGTAATTAGGAATGCACATACGATCCATTACGAACATTAAGAAAAGAGAAAGCATGGTCGAATGGAAATGCATGGGCAGCATGGATGGAAATTGGAAGAAATTCTACCAGGTTCAAGAAAAAGTAGAATTTATGATGTTAGTTATGACTTACAATTATACGACAACCGGCTCATATCAGTCCATTTTTTGGTAATTTTCAGATTCAACGCTACCAATTACACTAAATGTTTGTAATTTCGTTTCTGTAACAGAAAAATGTTAAAATTAGCTGTACAGAGATGTTGATGGTTTACACTATTTGGCTCATATAGGTCGGCACATGTACTGAAGACCCCAGAATTTAATATCGTCGGAAGAAGAAACACTGCATTTGTGAATATTTTCGCTATTCCTCGCCTGATACGTGAGAATATCGGAATTAGTAAGAAATATGACTACCTTGAGATAGGTTGTTTTTACCATGCACCAGGTTTTCGTAAATTAACGTGGAGGGAAAGGATTTAAAGCAGCGAGCAGTGCTGGCGATAATTTGAAGTCGTAGGCTTCCGCGACCAGAGTCATGTGGGTGATCTGGGCTGTCCGGGTGACGCCGCGTCGAAGGCTGAGTTGCCGACGTTTCGACCATCCTGTCGTGGTCTTCCTCAGGGCTGGCATACCAGCCCTGAGGAAGACCACGACAGGATGGTCCAAACGTCGGCAACTCAGCCTTCAACGCGGCGTCACCCGGACAGCCCAGATCACCCTGGCGATAATTTGTACGCGCGAGCCTATGCGTGCGTGTATTATGGAACGTAGTATTATTTTCTGTTACTGTCGAATGTTTCTGGTATTTGAGTAGATTCCTCTGAAAAGTGCACTGTCTTGGGCAGAAATGTAACGAAGGTAATTGTACTTCTTGTAGATTAGACTGTCAGTGCATTTATTTTTTATTAAGTTTGGTTCAGTTTTTAGTTTGACAGTCTTATGCAGCAGCAAGGTTTGCATTGGGTTTTATATGTATGCATAACAATGGAAAATGTATGTATAAAATTACAACACACATTCTGTATATACGTATGTATGTACATACCTACATACCTACGTACATACCTATGTATGTACGTACCTACATATACTATACATGTAGAACGTGTCATATAAGTATGTAAGTACTTGAGTCACTAAGTATCTGAGTACATACGTTCTGAGCAGCCGACCATAGTTATTTTTAGCGATAGACTGAAATTCTGGAACATAAGTGCTAAAGTAAAGAGTCAATTCAAAGGGAAACATTTCTCAAATCCCTCATGAACTCCAGAGGAGACCATATCACGGGTTGAAACGGATAAGGATATGTAAATAACCGAACGAATATTGTAATAAGCTTGACTTAACTGTCTTAATATATTTTAATATAACTTCGTAAGAAAGTTTATCAATGTCAACTTGTCAAATGTCATTGTCAAATGCATTGATTTGGTCCTCTTTTACCCCAAATTCCTTTGAAGGCGAGAAGCGCGATATGGCCACCGACCCTTTGTGTGTACGTCGGGCTCGGCCGGAAGCAAAACCCGCTCTTCGAAGACACAAGTTCAATATTGTCCTAAAAGTATAATCGGAAATTTACCTTCTTGTTGACTGTGCTGGCACGACGATACTTCTTTTTATCGGCGTTGGCAGGCCGAGTAGCGGCGCGTCGGAAGCGGCTCGGCGGCGGTGGCCGATGACGTCAGACGCTCCCCGGGCGCGCGCGCCCCTGGCGGCAGCGGGGCGAATCGCGCCAAGAGTGGGCGCCGCCGCTGAGACGTGGGGGTCTTGAGGCGGACGTCCGGCACCTGAGTGCCTGCGCAGGGGTGTTCAAACCAACGAGTTGGAAATGTTGCAGTAACTCTACACATTGTCTCAAACCCAGCCGTTGGGCTCGCCGCTTTCACGAAAACAGATACTCAACGACCAAGGAGAATATGTCGCTCGTGGGCTGCAATAGTGGCAGAACTTAAAAAAAAATTCGAATTTGAGTTAATGCACTCTCCAGAATTGCAGATTGGTCTACCTTCTAGCAGCAACTGCAGCATATCTTACAATATAGTATTCTACCGACAAATAGTTGAAGTGTGAATGCAAGAATGATGCATTTCAATTCAAGGTGAAAACTTCAATCTCATTTATCTCAACACCTGATTTTTTGAGTTGTGCCACTATTGCAGCTCACGAAGGATATAAATACGACGTAAATATCATATTAATGTAGTGAAAACAACAACAAATATATAATTTTCCAAATAACATATTGAAACAACAATAATAATGAACGTGATGAGGCTCAGTTAAGGCCTTATGATTTTTCTACGTATCATTTTTTAGAATCCAATTTTTCAATTTTTCAAACACCAGCCTAGATCATAGCCAAAGTGCTAATGTTTTCAGAATAACATTTCTTCCAAATGCCGATGGCTGGACCATTTTATCAGCATGTATTGATAATATGGCCCAACACCAGGCTTTTATACTAAAAAAAATAGGTCGATTTTCTCTCTCTTTTTATTCTCCTATGTTCACAAAATTGGAGTGTATGTCTGGGATTACAAAATAAATGTATTTTTAAAATTTCATGTTTATTTAGATGAAATAAAAACCAAATCTATTTCTTTTACGATTTTTGTTTGTGAGTGTTTGTCCGGGATAATCTCGGGAACGGCTGAAGCGATTTCGACGCGATAGTTTCCATGAAAAGTAGAGTGTCTTGTCATCAGTCATTAGGGCAAAAGGAAAATAACTCTGGGAAACTGAAAGAAACTGAATCTTGAAAATCCTGCAAATATTTCGGTCACAATACGTCCATGCTACAAAAGCGCATGGTACGTCAGCAAACAGCAACACTTCACGCAGCACTGCAAATTACAGCCATAAAAAATCAATTAAGTTCGCAGGCATTTATTCTGACTTGAGAATCATCAAAATCAACTTGCAACAAATATACCCACGAAAGTCAAGAACAAGAACTTTCAAAATATTAATGCTTCCAAATTCAGTAAATTAGTAATTTTAGTTATACGTTTGGTAACATTACCTGTTCATTATTGTGAAAAATATGTAAAAACCTTTTAACTTGCCAAGGGATTATAGAATTGAATGATTAATCCACTCCTGCTCTTATACATTTTTGAACTCATTTTGCCTACTGTTTTGTAAATTAAAATGCAAGTAAACAAAGTATTAAAAAGCATGAACTTAAAGTTCTGTTTGGAATTTAAGGTAAAGGCTTCTAAGGTATAGTACATAAGCAAATACAAAGAGAACCTGAGCTATCTTGCTGCCAAATTGTTTGCATCTTTCCTCGAAATTCAGAGACAAACCACTCAAGAGAAAATCTTCCCAAGGAATATATCAGCTCAAGGAACAAACGGAGGACAGAGATGGAAATGAGCCTTCGGACAGAAAACCCTCCTTCAAACACTGTTCAAGAGCATTCATAAAGCTCAATAACGTTACTCTTACAACGTGCTGGATTGTCTGCGATATAAATGAAGGGTAGAGCGAAATAAAGGGGATGGGTTCATTTTCAGAAAAAAGGTCTTACGAAACACTGAAACAAGCTTTGAAATACGCTTATCAAATTGGAAATAAAGAGGTTCAGTTCAATTGAAAATGAAAGAAAAAATAGTTTATCAGAATGAAGGGGATTCGCCCAGCAGAAAATTTCAAATAATGTCATGCGTCCAGTATAGAAACATATAATCAGAAAAAAGAGATCAATCGTTAGCGAAATTTTGGGGATCGGACACACATGTGAATTCTCAAATTCTTAAGTAAATTGAAAAACACGAAGTAAAACCGACAGTCGCGCAAGCTGCGATGGCTCAGGGCGGCATCTGCTTCCTGAGCATTTTTTGACTGAGAGGTCCTAGGTTTGAGTCCGGACGGTGGTGGAGTTTCGATAGTAGCTAGTTAGCTTGGGCGAATTCAGTAACTGTTTGGACGAGAATTCTAACGGCCGGCTGCTCTTATCGGTAGTTTTCGGTGGATTATCCGATCAACCCCCGGCGAATGCCAGAGCAGTACCATACCGAAAGGGACACGAGTCGTGCGCTATCTTTCCTTCCTCTTCCGTGTCTTATCCACACCCCTTACTCACATACACTTACAAGCACTACACTATCACACACGTCGGGAGATCAGTCCGGAGTTTAGAGCTTGACCTAGCTGGAGCGGTGTCTCGGCGGGGGCATTTGGAGGGGGAAATTTCCCGCTATCCGACGTGTAGATCTGGGCCGGATCTCACATTCTCGCGGGGAGGAATACGTCACATCCCGCGATTTAATGCGCATTGCATACTAACAACCGCAGTAGTTGACGCTCCTCGAAACACAAAATATTAAGACTGCTATGATTTTTTTGTATAAAAGATAAGTAAAATCCCATCATTCCCATAGATAAACAGGGGAAAATAATTTTACTTTATGTTACTTTATTAAATATTATTTTATCTTCATAATAGTATAATATTTATATTCATAATAGAATGGCGTTGCTGTGCGAACGGTTATATGTTCTCGAAAGATTTAAAGTGAGAAGAAGCTGGAATTAGAACCGTATCCTTTTATGAGGTTATCAAGCTTATCAAGTTACCATTTATTTTGTCCTTTTCTCTAATCGCATTCAGATCTCTAAGTTGCTGAAAATCCGTTCATTAAATGTAAGATTGAATCGTTCCTTTCAAATTGTATATTTTAAAATTTCTTGCCTATTCCCCTTATCTGAGGAAAAAATAGTTGCGATAACCATCGTACGTATTACTCAGGAACTCGATGGTGACGCGTGACATCTCTGACCTGCTGAGGCGGTACCGCGGTCTGATTTACCTCGTGAGTACTATCCAATGTGGAGAGACTAGTCATACCGCGTCGTTTCTTGACGTACCATGTTTTGTGCCGTGTCGTGTCGTATCATTTCGAGTCGTGTAGGTGATAGATTGATGAGTGATTTCCGGCGCGTCAAACGGTATGGTCATTATTCCATTAAGTGTAGTGCATGTTTTCAACGCGGGAGGTGGCAGTGATCGCCCCCCCGCTACGTCTGGCGCCAACCTACCTACCTGTCGCTTAGCGGGGTTTCCCTCAACAAGATGTCTCCCACCAGCGGGGAACCGCCCCAGCCAGGACAAACTATAAGCTCCCGACCGATTTCCTGGCATATAGGTATTCCTGGTATAGTGCATGTAAGTAAGTGTGTGTGTAAGGGGAGAGGATAACAGAAGGATGAGGAAGGAAAGATCGCTTGCGGTCCGTGACCCGTTTGTGACAACGGAAAACGTCCGACCAGAACCACCGGCCGCTCCAATTCTCCTCCAGACAGCGGCTGAATTCGACCCAGCTCTCTAGCTAGTGTATGAAATCCTGCCACCGCGAAGTCGGGGCTCGAACCTAGGACCTCCTGGACCACCTCTCCCGGTGTGTCGTGTCGTGTCGGTTGTGTTGTGTCATAAAACGTTGCGAACCACACGGTCAATTCGGTTATTAAACATCAGAATTACATCACTTCCTTTCCACTATATAATTTAAAATATCTTTCCTGATCTGTATAAATAATAAAAAACGGTAGCTTTGACCTTTGCAGCAACTTTCGTGTTCAGTCCGAAGGTACTCGATGTGGCGATGGCAGCCTTCATTGCACCTCCCGCTGTGGAGCGCGGCGTCGTGCTGCCGTGTCGCGTCGCGTCGCGTCGCGTCGCGTCGCGTCGCGTCGCGTCTGTCGCGTCGTACGACGTCGCGTCCACTGCGTTACTTTTAATTAAGAGCGGATTAGGGAGTGCGGGCAGCGGGCGGAGCAAACACGGCCAGACAGGACGCGTTTCCCGAAACTTCGCCGCCTCCCGCCCGCTCCCCCTCGCGCCGCCGCAGGTGGGGCGATAGGGGCCAATGCAGGCTGGCCACGGTGCAAGTCGCGCTATTGATTGCTCTGTCGCAAATCCGTGGAAATTGGGTCGAACCGCAGGGTCATTTAGGCAGGGAAGATATACATTGGATGATTTATACGACATGGTAACTATTTTTTCCTTGCTAACAGGTATCTAAGATATACGGTTGAAAGTGTAATCAGTGTTCTTTAGAATCAAGCCACCAGATGTTGTGTGTGCACCAATGAATTGTGTGCGTGATTATGCGTAAAGTCCAACACCCTACGTCTATTCGAAAACATTGTGGAGACAACATGTACAGTGTTAACTATGTAGACAAAGGTACAAGACGAATTCGGAAAGTAATTTTATTTTGGGTCTGAACGTCACAGTCCTCCTACTCTATTTGAGGCATTTTTGGTTCATACACGTTTTGTGATTTTGTTACCCATAACAAAAATACATGAATATCATAATCAAACACTATTAATAAAAATATTTACTAAGGACTATGAAAGAAAATTGTGTTCCGTATTTTCTCTTACTGAGTTGGTAAACTAAATTAAATTTGGTTACACTGTCTAAAATTAGTTATCAAATTTAATAGCTGTAATAAATTACAGAGTTTAGATTAATCTAAATTTTGTATATATTTTATATATTTTTTAATTGTGAAATAAACATTTATAAAATTGTAATGGAAATAAAATTATAACAGATATTATCACCATTCGCTGTTGAATTCAAACCCAAGTATTCCTGTTCATGCAGTGATGTTTAAAAAAGAAATATATTTTCCTTTTCCTTTTTTGGAAACGATACATTACTTTATTACATCTCAGAGAAATCAGGGCATCAAGATGATCCTGGCATTCTTTTGTAGCCAAGAGTCCATTTTACAGTAAGAAATGGTAAGGAGATAAGACACATTTTTATTTGCACTTAAA